TGCCAATGAATTGACCCTTCTCAAACAGACTAACATCTTTTCCACGACCACGGGATGCGTCTTTCGACATGGTTGTTTAGGAAATGAGAAGCAAGTCATTGCACCAAATGGGGTCAAATAACTTGTTGCCAGCTGAAAGATAATCGCCCATGCAGTAATTATCCAATAGGAGGCTCGCACCTATTTGCTTAGTTGAATCCAGGTGGCGACTTTTTTTTTGGCCAGGCAGTGTATGTATGAAATGAACGAAATGGGACCATTATTATTATTCCAATTTTGCTCTCTGCTTAATTATTAATAAATCAATGTAAATTAAATTAAATTAAATTGAATAATGACTCTGTTTATTATCCAGGCCAGTAAGGAGAGGAACTACCATGTGTTCTATGAACTGCTGGAAGGTTTGAATGACTGGGACAAAGAGAAGCTCTTCCTGCAGGGAGCTGAGACCTATTACTACCTAAATCAAGTCAATAAAACCAGCAACATGCAAACTCTGTTATTTTTTTCTTCTAGCAGTTTTAATGTTTGTTGTTGTCATGTAGGGGGGTGCCTGCATTTTGAACGGGAAGCAAGAAAAACAGGACTTTCACATTTTGCTTCACTGTTTGGAGACTATTGGCCTGCATTCAGATCAAATCTCCCACATATGGGCCATCCTCTCCTCCATCCTGCAGCTCGGTAACATCTCTTTCAGCTCCTATGAGGTATTTGTCAATCAGGGAGGCAATCAGGAGACATAAGACATGCGTATCATACCTCTGTTGTTTCTGTTTTAGAGTGAGTCATTTGAAGTGGCTCGTATCTTCAGTGAGGCGGAGGCCAGAAGGGTTGGTTCCTTGTTGCAGATTTCCCCTGAGGCCCTTCAAACTGTAATTACCCACAAAGTCACAGTAGGTATCTTTTCGCTAATCTATTAGATCTACACTGATGAGCATCTGCAGAGATTTTTTTTTTTTGTGTTACAGGAGACCACCTTTGATCGGATCTACTGCCCCCTGTCTGTGGAAAGTGCCATAGAATCAAGGTAACAACAAAATATGAATCTTTCTCTAGGCAGACCCACAGCTTACCCTGGAGCCTCATAAACTTATGAGCCGTGCATAAGTACAATAAAAACTTTGAGGAGAAATGTTTCTTACACAACTAAGTATGTGGGGGGGGAAAAAAGGCATTGCATTAAAGCATGCAGCTAAACACGTGGCTCATTCAGTAACGAATTTGACCTTCATAAGTTACATAGCCGAGTTTATGAGAGGAGCATCAATACGGACCACACCAATGGCCTGCTGGAGGTCATTCTGTAGGGCTCTGGCAGTGCTCCTCCTGCTCCTCCTTGCACAAAGGAGCAGATACCGGTCCTGCTGATGGGTTGTAGACCTTCTACGGCCCTGTCCAGCTCTCCTGGAGTACCTGCCTGTCTCCTGGAATCTCCTCCATGCTCTTTAGATTGTGCTGGGAGACGCAGCAAACCTTCTGGCAATGGCACGTATTGATGTGCCATCCTGGAGGAGTTGGACTGCCTGTGCTACCTCTGTACGGTCCAGGTAGCGCCTCATGCTAACAGTAGTGACAGTGACCCTAGCCAAATGCAAAACAGGTGAAAAAGAGTCAGAAAAGGTGAGCAGGGGAAAAATGTCAGTGGCCTCCACCTGTAAAACCATTCCTGTTTTGATGGTCATTTCGTTGTTGCCCCTCTAGTGCACCTGTTGTTAATTTCATTAACACCAAAGCCGCTGAAACTGATTAACAACCCCCTCTGCTACTTACCTGACCAAATCATGACCCATAAGTTTAATTAACTTGATGCTATAGTCTGATTACGCAGTGTTCCTTTCATTTTTTGAGTAGTGTATATCAATATATTTCAAAATATTTTAAAAATTATAAAGTATGAATTTCATAATTTAATTTTTATTATTTTTTTTTTTATGTCTTAATTAAGGTCACTGGGCTAGTGGGGCAACACCCTAGCGCCCTCTACTGGCCAACCGCCACAGCCTAAAACCCACATAAATAAATCATAAGGGAAGAGAATATGATCAGGAAAAGAGAATTTAAAAGAATGATATTTGAAAAACCCAGAAATTAAAAAACTATAATAGAAAAAAATAAAATATGAATAAAAAAATATTGTTTGAAAAAATGTAATTTGAGAAAAAAGTAAAATTACTTTCAAAGCCTTTTTTAAGAAGTTTTTAAAAATCTTTATATCTAAATTGCATTTTTTCCTGAAATTCCCATTTACAGTGTTCCTTGTTTGGAACAGTAATGGAACAAATTTCCCTCCGTCTACCTGCATGTTTTCTGTTCCTCTATAGAAATGCGATTGCCAAAGCTTTGTACACAGTTCTGTTCGACTGGTTGTTGGAGCAAATTAATGACTGGCTGAGTCCGGCAGAGATGGACAGCACTGTTGGTGTCGTGGATATTTACGGCTTCGAGGTTCATTCATTTTCTGACTTTGGAAATATTTGCATCATTATGTATTAATCTGAAAATGGAAGTTGACTTTCAAGGTTTTGTTTCTTTTTGAAGGACCTGGAAGTGAACAGCTTCGAGCAGCTGTGTATTAACTTTGCCAACGAGCAGCTGCAGCATTTTCTCAACAAAACACTGATTTCCCAGGAGCAGGTAGGTGAAGTTTAAAACCAAAAGATCTAAATATGAACAAGTTAAGGGCGAAACACACCAGAACTGATTTGGAGTCTGTGGCAATAGGATTTGTTGAGGAGCAATGCAGACTGCTGATGATGCCACTCTGCTCCTTCTGACTGTCAGAACAAAACTCACTCACTTTAGACCGGGTGTATGGAGTTAATTTTGTTCCATTATTGTTGCAAGCAGAGAACATTTTCTGTAAATGAAAATTTTAAAAAATATGCAATACAGAAAAGGAACTTTGAAAAACGTATTAATCAAAAAAAGATTTTGAGAGTGTTTTTCTTTAATCTATCTATCTATCTATCTATCTATCTATCTATCTATCTATCTATCTATCTANTGAAAAAGAGTCAGAAAAGGTGAGCAGGGGAAAAATGTCAGTGGCCTCCACCTGTAAAACCATTCCTGTTTTGATGGTCATTTCGTTGTTGCCCCTCTAGTGCACCTGTTGTTAATTTCATTAACACCAAAGCCGCTGAAACTGATTAACAACCCCCTCTGCTACTTACCTGACCAAATCATGACCCATAAGTTTAATTAACTTGATGCTATAGTCTGATTACGCAGTGTTCCTTTCATTTTTTGAGTAGTGTATATCAATATATTTCAAAATATTTTAAAAATTATAAAGTATGAATTTCATAATTTAATTTTTATTATTTTTTTTTTTATGTCTTAATTAAGGTCACTGGGCTAGTGGGGCAACACCCTAGCGCCCTCTACTGGCCAACCGCCACAGCCTAAAACCCACATAAATAAATCATAAGGGAAGAGAATATGATCAGGAAAAGAGAATTTAAAAGAATGATATTTGAAAAACCCAGAAATTAAAAAACTATAATAGAAAAAAATAAAATATGAATAAAAAAATATTGTTTGAAAAAATGTAATTTGAGAAAAAAGTAAAATTACTTTCAAAGCCTTTTTTAAGAAGTTTTTAAAAATCTTTATATCTAAATTGCATTTTTTCCTGAAATTCCCATTTACAGTGTTCCTTGTTTGGAACAGTAATGGAACAAATTTCCCTCCGTCTACCTGCATGTTTTCTGTTCCTCTATAGAAATGCGATTGCCAAAGCTTTGTACACAGTTCTGTTCGACTGGTTGTTGGAGCAAATTAATGACTGGCTGAGTCCGGCAGAGATGGACAGCACTGTTGGTGTCGTGGATATTTACGGCTTCGAGGTTCATTCATTTTCTGACTTTGGAAATATTCTCATCATTATGTATTAATCTGAAAATGGAAGTTGACTTTCAAGGTTTTGTTTCTTTTTGAAGGACCTGGAAGTGAACAGCTTCGAGCAGCTGTGTATTAACTTTGCCAACGAGCAGCTGCAGCATTTTCTCAACAAAACACTGATTTCCCAGGAGCAGGTAGGTGAAGTTTAAAACCAAAAGATCTAAATATGAACAAGTTAAGGGCGAAACACACCAGAACTGATTTGGAGTCTGTGGCAATAGGATTTGTTGAGGAGCAATGCAGACTGCTGATGATGCCACTCTGCTCCTTCTGACTGTCAGAACAAAACTCACTCACTTTAGACCGGGTGTATGGAGTTAATTTTGTTCCATTATTGTTGCAAGCAGAGAACATTTTCTGTAAATGAAAATTTTAAAAAATATGCAATACAGAAAAGGAACTTTGAAAAACGTATTAATCAAAAAAAGATTTTGAGAGTGTTTTTCTTTAATCTATCTATCTATCTATCTATCTATCTATCTATCTATCTATCTATCTATCTATCTATCTATCTATCTATCTATCTATATAAAAATTTCAAATGTTATTAAAAAAAGGCGCCACACTCTCAAAATATTACATCCATGTCTTGATAACCTTTTTTTTTATTTCCATTTGCAACACCAAGTTGTTTTTAAATTAACATCTATAAAAGCTGTTGCTTTACAAAGTACAAAATATATTCATTTAGTCTTTTTTTCAAATTTCCATTTACAAAATCAAGTTTGTTTTTATTTCCATTTATAAAATGTTTTTGTCCATTACCTAAGGTAGTTTGCTTTTTTTAAATATTTATTTTCCAAACATTTTTTTCGAATGTTCTTTATATAACCTGATCTTTGCTTTATTAATGGAATAAGTCCAGATATTGATTAAAATGGTGAAACTGTGGCTTCTGTCGATCAATAATATCGTATTAATCTGCAAATGTTTATCACACAATGAGCAAACAAACAATAAAGCATTAAAATACAGCACATATTTATGTTTAGAAGCACAAACAGACATGATCTTATTTGAACTTCGAGTAACAAGGCGTCACCTGACTGTTTGATCACTGAGTCCAGTGATTGGTTCACAGAGCCTCATGCTGTTAGGAGGAAGCCATGTGTTTGGGCCTTTATCCTGCTGGTTTTCAGCCTTTTTGAACAACTTTTAAATATTCGGATGTGTCTTGCAGGAGGAGTACGACGCCGAGCAGATCCTTTGGCATCCAGTGCAGCTAAAGAACTTTCACTCCTGTCTGGATCTGATCTCCTCCAGACCAAACGGCATCCTCCGCATTTTAGACGATCAGACATGCCTCCCACAGGTGAACACATCCACAGACCGATTTATTCATCCAGAATGAGCCTTCAGAGAACAGAAGCTGTCTGCCAATCTTTCCTATTGGTAGAGTAGCAGGCAGTAGTCCAGTTGTAAGAAAAGAAGGGGGATGGTGGAATTTTTTAAAATTTTTTTTAAGCATACATAACCTAATTAATATAGTCTATTAAAGGAATAGTACACCCAAAACATGATTAGCCTTCATTTTCTACTCACCCCCATGCTGAACAACACTCTGGAGTACTTTTTTGATATCTCAAATGCATCTGGAGATCTGGGAGGCTTCTTGCTGTCTGCTGACATTCAAATAATGGAGGTCTATGGTGACCGAGGCAGAAAGGTCCATAAAAGTCCACAAAAAACGTGTCAATATTCCTCCATACTGCTCGTCCAAAGTAATCCAAGTGTCTTGAGTGGGTAGCGTCCAGAATTTACTCGAAACGAAGTCATTTAGAATGTTTTTAGAGCATAAACAGTAGTGTATAGGATTTCCTAAAAGCGCGCGCCTGCGAGTTCACGAGTCTACGGAAACCGCGGCAGACCAAACCAGATGAAAGTGCGCATTCAGCGTCTGCTCTGCCGATAATGCAAGCGTAGAAGAAGAAGTTCTGCTTTTCACCTGTTTTTCACGGCAGAAAATAAACAGGTGAAAAGCGGAACTTCTTCTTTCATTCTAAATGACTTTGTTTGTTTGAATGTCAGCAGATAGCAAGAAGCCTCCCACATCTCCAGATGCATTTGAGATATCAAAAAAGTACTCCAGAGTGTTGTTCAGCATGGGGGTGAGTAGAAAATGAAGGCTAATCATGTTTTGGGTGTACTATTCCTTTAATGTGGGGGTTTGGTGTGGGTGGGGGGTCAGGGGGATAAATCAGAATCAAAGTTAGAAACAAAGTCCAGTGGATTGTTTTTTACAGTTTTTGGAATTCATACGCAGTACGCTGTGCGTTAATGTAATGCAGGAAGGTCTGGAGATGCTACGTTAGTGTAGCTTTTAGGTTCTGAACGGAGGAGGGTGAAAGGCGGTGTCAGTGTTATGTGGGTCTCTGGGCCTTGTTGATCCGGCTGGTAGCGGATGGGAAAAACTGTTCTTGTAACCCGAGATTTTGGTCCTGATGGACCGCAGCCTCCTGCCAGAAGGAAGATCATATGTGACCTAAAATCCCCAAAGCACCAAAGAAAAAAAAACGTATGTGTGTACATATAAATATATGGTTTCAACTTCAATAAAAGCTGATGAATTGTTTGGGTTTACCAGGCGACTGACCACACCTTCCTTCAGAAATGCCACTACCACCATGCCAGCAACCCCTTCTACTCCAAGCCCAAGAGCCCGATGCCCGTCTTCACGATTTATCACTACGCTGGAGCTGTCACCTATGAGGTACTGATTCCTCTACGCCTGATTTTAAGCTACTAAGCTACTAGAAATAAAATAAAACTGCTTCCATCTTCTTTTTTTCAGGTTCATAATTTCCTCAATAAGAATCAAGACCAGTTCAGGACAGAAATCGTGGAACTTTTTGCTAGAAGCAGGACAAAGGTGAACGACTGACACATTCAACTCTGCATAAAGCAATTCTGGTTTTAACTGTATAAAGGCTTAAACAATGAAAAAAAAGACATAATATCATACAGGCTTTACTGGGATGACGGAATGACAGAGACATATAAGACCAACAAGCACCTACAGTTTAAGATATCAAAAAACCTCTGCACAAAAAAGCACATATAAACACGAGACAAACATTTCAGTGGAGGATCACATGAGAGGCTGGAGACACATGAAAGTAAACCTGTCATTTGAGCATTTGTTGTGTGCTTGTATGATGAGTGCGTTCAATTTGTCCGTGAACGCTGCCCAAAGGGTCATCATCGTTGATAAGATGGAAGTTTATCAACCGGCACTACAGTTCTAAACAATTCCACAAATGTGGGGAGCAATTCTTGGCCCTTCCGTCATAACATCCAGGAGAGGTTTAAAAAGGGGGAGGCTGATTCTAAAACAACACTTACTGTTTTGAGAGCAGGCTGCACAGGAAGTTGCCGTCAGTCTTGAGCCTTTTCTTGCTGGCTCTACATAGTGAATTCAATATTCCAAATTTGTTGGGCTTTTCCACCTTGAAGCAAGCGTGCACATCCAAGATATTATCCCATCTCACCTTTAAGTTAAAAAAAAGGCAGCTAGCTTGCATTCAATCGCACCCAGCATGCAGCTCAGCTCACGGTCCTGCTCATTCACAGCCTTTGTGAGCGCATCAATTGCGGCCAGCAGCCTGATCTATGTCCAAATTACTGCTGACATCCTCATACATCAGGTATCCTGCATCCAAACATGAGAAATCTGAGTATCATAAATCAGAAAATCCACACACCTTCGATATCCTCCACTGACAACATTGTAAAACACCATCCTCCAAGCCTTCCAGGAGTCCATGGTGTGTCCCACAAAGGACAGGATGGTTCCCCTTTTTCCTGTCTTGCAGTTGAATAAATTTGATCAAATGCATTGAGAGACCAGCTGACCAGATCCATTGTTTGAGTTCGGGTGATATGAAGTGAGAGCTCAGAAAAGAAAAGACACAGCAAAGCAGGGACAGGCAGGGAGGTGCAGGAGCAGCAGGAAAATGCGACCGCCTCCTTCCAGAGCCAGAACAATAAGTTCCTTTATCTAATTCCATTAGCAGTATAAAAACGGCTATGATGTTAGTTATAGATGATGTTTCAGATTCCCACTGCATTTCAAACAGTGGTGTGAGTTATTTTTTCTGTGTTCATGCAGATGATTTCTGGGCTCTTCCAGAAGCTTCAGGACAGCTACGTCCAGCAGAGGGAACTGGGTTTGAAGGGGAAACGTCTTCGCCAGCTGCCCCCGACCACAGCTTCACACTTCCTCCAGTCCCTGAGCGAACTCACCACCTGCATGGAAAGGTTCATTTCACGTAGAGTCCCTTAGTTTATGTTCTCTTAATCAAACATAAAATGATACTAATCTGAGGGTAAAATACAGAGAAAGAAAGGAGAAAGAATAGCAATTTATTGAGTTTCATTTAGGAGCCGGATTCAGATGGAGACCCATGAAAACCAACTCAGCTGGTTCCAAACCTGCTATGATGAGTGTTGGAACGTTCATTTAAAAAGCAAACAGTCAAGGCTACGTAACCATGAACCTACTTTCTATGATCTGAAATACTGATGATTTCAGAAGATTTTCCTTTTATTCTAACTTTAAATTGACTTTAATCTGAGTTCAGTTATCAAATAAAATATTTTTTATATGAAGTAACTGAAGAAATGGACAAAAAATTTGAAAACATTGTAGACTGGGACTATTGAGTGAAGAAGCCATCAGTTATATTATATTGGAAACTGGTTTCATTTGGTTTAATAAATATCAGAAAATATAATAAAAGAAAAATAAAGTTAATTACAGGTTTTAAAACATATTCATGAATATTAACAGCTTTATACATGATATAAAAGAGGTACAACAATGAAAAATAGTGCTTTTCAAGCTATGGAATATTATTCCATCCATCCAGCTTGTGTTGTTTCCATGAAGACTCTTCCTGCCCACTACCAGCCACCACAGAAGAAGAATTATCAATCTGTTTTGTTTAATATTCAACTCAATGATGATTATAAAGTTAATGTGTGTACATATCAAACATTGAGGAAATGAGATGCTTCACTTGTTTACTACAAACTGTCATGCAACGGTGGTGGAAAATTACTGATGTGCAAGGCTAAATCACAGTTATCAGAAGAGCACTCTGTTCTGTGATTCAATCAGAGGAGCATTCTGTCCTGTGACTTGAATAATTTCCTTATCAGAAGAACACTCTGTTTTGTAACCCACCCCATGTGTTATGAACTGCTAATATAAAGGCTCTGCAGAGGAAGTCCTTGAGAGAGTTAGAGAGTTGGGTGTAGCTCTCTCCTTCTGCAGAAGCTACTAAAAATCACTTTTCTGTGTGGACTCAGTTCCTCTTTTACGAACCTACATTTTTGAACCTAATAACTCTATAGCATCGGTGCTGATTGCCCATAAAACATCAACGAGTGACAGACAGACATACAGTACAAAAAAGTGTAAATCCTAATAAGTCATTTTTTCTTGAATTCAAAAGGTAAATTAAATATTTTTGCCAATGGAACAAGATAATTTACATTTAAAATAAAGAAACAAATAATTGCTTTGTCTTACTTCAAGTGCTTAGTAACTAATTATCTATTTTAAGAGTGAAAATATTAATTCCATTACCAAATAATCTTTTTTACCTGCTCAAATTAAGGATACATACATTTAATCTAAGACATTTTTACTTATTTCTAGATCGTTTTTGCAGTGTACATAGATAGATAGATAGATAGATAGATAGATAGATAGATAGATAGATAGATAGATAGATAGATAGATAGATAGATAGATAGATAGATGTAGAAAATGACAGATTTGTGCTTATAAGTATCTTGTGACCGCCACCAAATGTGACCAAATTCTAAATGGATACAGATAATATTTACATTTTATTTAATAAATCTTGCAGATCAATCAGATAATTCTGTATTTTTCTGATTAAACAGATTTTATCCTGGAATTATTGGACAGACTGACTAATCAAAGTTTTCCTCTTAACCTTCTTAGGTGTAAAACAACCATCATCCGCTGCCTGAAGCCAAATTATGTGAAGGTAAAAAAATACTATAAAAAAAACAACCTTTCTTTACTTCTAGGGTCAATATGTGCAGGATAACAATACACTGAAAAAAACAATACCGTTTTTGGCATTTATTTATTCATATTTAGTTACTTTAACACAATTGTTTTATGTTAGCAGGATAGGACATAAAACAATTTTGTTAAAGTAACTAAATATGATTAAGCAAATAATAACTGAGGAACTTCCTGGCTTGACTTGATTTTACAATTGTGTAACTGTCTTGGGAAACAGACATCAAAGCGATGTTGATTTATCTCTGTTTCTTACAGATAACAGAATGTGCTAGAAACATCTGTTGCTTAAATATGCATGTTTATTATATCTAATTTATAATCTTCACATATTAGTCTACAGAAAGTCCATGCATGCAGAGCAAAGATATAGAATCCATCTGATTTAATAACTAAATAAATGGAAACTTTGCCTTTTATTACATCTAACTTTTATTTTTTACAGCTTCCTGGGATCTTTGATGTTGATTATGTGTCTGTTCAGCTAAAGTACTCAGGCGTACTGGAAACAATCCAAATACGGAAAGAAGGTTTTCCGATCAGGATTCAGTACTCATCCTTCGTTGAGAGGTGCTCACACACACTAGCACGTTTGGTTAATACAACTATTCCTTATTTCTACACATTAATTATGTT